ACGCTAACTGCTGGTTCCCAAAACACTCTTCTCTTTAGAGAACATGATGTATGAATTTTATTGGCTGCCTACCATAAGACAGCATTTCTCAAGATGCTGTCCACTAACATATGGGAGTGGGGGAGGTTTAGTTCTCCTCTATGAATTTCAATTTTTAATTTTTATTTTGATAAAACCTTATTCTGCATCTTGATGACAAAGGAGAATCATGGAAGTTCTGTACCTGAATTTGCTTTTGTGTCTACAATCACATTAACCCCATCCTAGTTATATACACTAATGAGAAATTTACTTCATTATACGTATTACATGATGCATATGTACAAAGTAAAAGCAAAATTACATTAAATAACACTATGAGGGGACAGCAGGTAGCATGAAGATTAAGGCACTGGATTCCCACACGGCCGACCATGGTTCAAGTCCTGGAGCTGGTTGCTTGAAAGTCACACTGGGCATGTGTGTGCACATGCCCAAAATCCTAAGAGGAGAATGCAGAGCAAGGGACTGTGGTGTGTTCATCTCCCCTAGGAGGTGATTTCTCACTTTACCTCTCTCTGTCAAGCACAAATGCTCTATGGGCAAAAAAAAAAAAAAAAAAAAAAAAAAAAAAAAAAAAAAAAAAAAAAGAAAAAAAGAAAGAAAGAAAGAAAGAAAGAAATAAGGAAAGAAAGAAAAAAGAAAAAGAAAAAAAAGGAAACCTAAAAAAATACCCCAACAACAAAACACAATATGAATGAAAGGCTTATAGTAGTTTTAATAGACAAAAATGGTGGGAGAATTGAGTAATTATCCTACAAGTGATACAGGATGGAAAGCACAAATAAAAGGGCTTTATTTAGATTATTTAAGCTTGAACAGCACTAGTGTTAGATATAGACACATCAGAAATCCAAGAGGAAACAGGAAAGTTTAAAGCATACAAATTTACTAGAGCTCTTCTGCTGGATGCATCTGAATCATCATCAATCACTCTGCACATTCACACTGGCTAATACTTGCTTTAGAAAGATATAATCCAGGGGAAAAAGCAGATTATGACACACACTGATACTGGTAGTAGGCTTCAATAAAAAAAAATCACATATGGGAACTCTTAAGTGGAATCTCATCATCTCAATTTCTGCATTGTATTTTTCACATATTCTACAATAAGGGTAAAATGTGATGAATATTTAGATTAGACCAAAAAATTCCCCTCTTTCTTTGTAAAAATAACTCAGTTGTTTAAAAAAAATGTAGTAATATGGATAGGTAAAACAAAGAAAAATCACTAACAACTCTTTTCATTTAAACTACCATTAGCATTCTGAACTATTTCCCTATATTTATTCAGTACACATAATTCTTTGTTGTTCCCCTTGACATGGTTCAGAAATTATAATCGTTTCAACTTGGAATAATGTTAATGAATCCAAACTGAAACTCAGCCCCTAAATCCCAACAGGCTACCTGGGATTCTCTGGGTTTACAGCCAGGTGAGAGCTCCTAACTATAAGACCTCTGGCCCAGATTAAAAATAAACCTTGAGTGTCTGGCCCCTTGCCTAGTAGTTAAAGAAGCTGGATCCCAGATGGCTGACCACAGTTCAAATCCTGGGTCCCATGGCTTGAAAAACACAAAGGGCACATGTGAGTGGGTACCAAAAATTTTGACAGGATGGAGAAATGGACAAGAGACTGGAACATGACCACAACCCGTTGGGGGAAGTTTTTTCTCAGTCTCTGCACTCCACAAGTGCATATGCCCTCTGGCAATAAAAAAAAAATACACAAATAAATAAGCCTTGAGCACAAAGGAAAACTTTATTTCAGACTTTCCAGTGCTTAACACAAGTTTTAAAAAAGGAGGGACAACATTTTGGTCTCTTGGCCAGTAAAAGCTACAACCTATAATTTTGACCCTAAAATATGAATGATGTCTTTGATTCTAAATAGGAAATAAATAATAACAAGAGGATTTATAGAAGAGAGGTAATGAGAATGTGAGAACTTGAAGGAAAGTAACTAGAATCATAATATCGTGGTGTAAGAGAAAGGGAGGCATTTTGATTTTAGGGAGTTTAACTTAGTTCATCTATAGCCCTACCATACTTCACTTCTAACTATAAAAGTTCTATAACCAACAAATGAACTTATCATTGTACAAAGTAAAGTGTTATATGTACATTTTAAAATATAGAACATCCCTGCTTAAAATACTGCAATGTTTTGGATAATGGTTTAGTCCCCGATGTTCTATCTGTTGGAATTTGGTTGATTCCTAACAAAATAAGAAAAAAATGGGAAAAGTGGGGGAAATTTTCTAATATAATGGCACTGGGATATGGTAAGATCTTTAAAGAAAGACCTGCCTTTCATATGGGCAGGCACCTAACCAGACAAGAATGACATACGAGTCAGTGTACTGAAAGACAAAAACTAGCCTTCAATGTTGGCAGGCACCGCCATGTCTTCCCATGCACTCCCCTCTGCTCAGCCTGCAGACCAGTGACATAGCACCAGAGGCCAGTCACATGCTGGTCACGTGCCCTTGGACTTTCCAGCTACCAGAATTGTGACCATAATAAACTTTTATTCATTATAAATCACCCAGTCTCTGGTATTTCTGTTTAGCAACACACTAATGGACTAATAACTATCAGAAAGTTAACCATTTTTAACACATGATTATATAATGAGATATAAATAAATTGTGTGTAGAGGGGAGTGTATGGCATACAACTAGAAGTTTAAAAAATCTGGCATTATTTAAAAATGGATAAAGGAGCTAATAGTTCTTCGAGGACATAAAAATGGCTTAGAGGTATGTGAGAAAGTGCTCAACATCTTTAATCATAAAGGAAAGCAAATTAAAACCACTATGAGATTCAAACTCACATTTATAAGGATGACTATGATCAAAAAGACAAATGATAACAAATGTGGTGAGAGTTTGGAGAAAAGGGAACTCTAATACACTGCTTGTGGGATTACAGATTGATATAGTCATTATGGAAGACAATATGGAGGGGTCCTAAAGAAAGGAAAAATAGAACCACCATACGACCCAGTAATTGCTTTTCTGGATATATACCCAAATGAGATGAAATTGTCATCTATTAGATCTCTCCACTTCCATGTTCACTGTGGTATTATTCATAACAAGCCAAGATGAGCAAACAACCAAAATACCCATGGAGGGATAAACTGATAAAGACAACGTGGTATAACACACACACACACACACACACACACACACAGACATAGACACAATGGAATATTATTCAGCCTTTAAAACAAAGGCAGTCCTGTCATTTGCCCAACATGGATAGACCTGGAGCATGTTATATTCAGTGAAATAAGCAGACACAGAATGAAAGATACTGCATGATCTCACTTATATGTGGAATGATTAAAAAAAAAAAAAAGAGCGCTCAAGTACAGAGATAGAAAATGAAACAGGTGAGGAAGGAGGGAGAAAATGGGGAGATATAACTCATAGGATACAAAATAACAAATATACAAGATAAAGTCTTAAGGACATAATGTACAACATGAGGACTAAAGTTAATAAAATTGTAGTGTACTACAGATTCTTTGTTAAATAAACATGTTTGAGCTACTCTTGTCTCTCTCTCTCTCACACACACACACACACACTCACACACAAAGTAACTAAGTGAGGCACCAGCAGGTGGTGTGGTAGTTAAGGCATATTCTCACATGGAGGACCATAGTTCGAATCCTGTACCCAGTGGCTTGAAAGTCACATGTGGTGCATGTGTGTACGTGAGTGTGTGCTTAAAATCCCAGGAGAATGGATTGTGGCATGGCCATTCCCTCCTAGGGGGTGACTTCTCACTCTCCTTCTCACTGTCTCGATGTCTCTAGCAAGAGCATGCACCCTACAGCTAAAACCTAAAAATAAATAAATATGATGGTATATGTTAATCTGCTTCACTATAGTAATAACTGTACTATCTGTATGTATCTATATATCAATTTGTATCCTATATCATCATGTTGTACACCTCAAATATACATAATAAAATTTAAAGAAAAATAAAAGATCTGACATTAAACACACACACACACAAACACGCATACATGCATGCATGCATTCACACAAGTAATAGGTTAATCTTGGCTTTTTCGACTAACTACTGATGTAATCTTTGATAAGTCACTTGCTATCTTTGGCTAGAGCTTCTGAACCTGTAAAATGAAGAAGCTAGCAATTTACTCTAGTTATATATACTACTAAGATATTCTATTTTTTGCTGCACACTTAAATCTCAACTATCAAACTGAGGTTAAAAATGTCTTCAATAAAATCTCTTAAAATCATTCCTATTAAATATTAGAGGAAAAAAAGTCTCCTGGTAAATTAGTAGCTATGCTCTTTACAATGGGTTCCATTTAGGAACAGGCTTTTCCAATGGCTAGTGATATCTGATTAACAATCAGCTTTCAATATATACTCCCAGCAAGATTACCCTTGCTTTTTAATCCTGCTCTCAAAATACCAACAGGAAAATAAGCAAGAGAAGAAGACCACATAATATCATCTATATAAGGTCTGTGTTCTAGTAGTTTAAATAAAGAAAACATATGAAATGCACATTATCATATGCTATATGATACTAAACTATACCCCTCTATGTAAATAAAATAAATTAACTTCTGAATTTTAGGTTGTCATAATTTACATATAAGATCCTGCTCTTAGTCAAATTCTTTATTTTAATGATATAGGTACATTGTCCTTACCTTGCAAATAAAAATCCAGGCTGGGAACTCTCTACAGGAAATCAGGGGGAATGAAACTATACACTGTCAGTGAAACACTGAAGTACAACTACTTGGTGAACTTTATATGCAGAACTGCTGCACACCTGTATTTAAGTAGTTATCTGGTTTCAAAACAGTGTAGTTTAAGAGCATTGAGAAACCCAAGTATTATTTTAACTACTGTTCAATGTGCTTTAAAAAAAAAAAAATCCCCTCATTTTGACTCACCTTAGTCCAAGGATGTGCCTTAATTTGTGGGAATTTGAATTCTGTGTAGTTTGGGTTCATTTCTCTAATTTGCTCCCTTGTTGGTGTTCCCAGGACCTAGCCAAAGAAAACAAATTATTGCCAACTTTTTGAATACACTTACAAATACAATTTTATGTCTTAATTGTATTGGTTTTATTTTAAAAAATAAGAATTTTAAAAGTTAAATAAAATGTTGTTCTCTAGCAACATACAGAACTCATTAAATAAAGCAGATTTTTAAAGAGACCTTAAATTTGTAATTAACATAGATTCCATGCTATGCTATTCTAGACGAACTTCTGTGACAGTATACAAACTTCTACAGAAATAGTGTTAAATCTGGGTTACAAAAATATTACTCAAAAAGTATTTACAGGGGACAAGTAGATGGCATAATGGTTATGTTGCTGGACTCTCACGTAGTTGACCTTGGTTTGAGTCCTGTACCCCATAGCTTAAAACTCAAGCTGTGTGTGTAGGCATGGTGCCCAAAATCCTGAGAGGAGAATAGAGGAGAAGGGATTGAAGTGTGGCCATCCCCACCCACGAGGGGGAGGGAGGGTGATTTTCTCACTTTCAGTCTCTCTCTCTGTCTCTGACTCTCTGGTAAGTGCATGTGCCATACAGCAAAAATCTCCCCTAAAAAAATTATGGAAAAAAATCAGGTTGCTTTGTTCTATTCAGAAAAATATAATCTATTGCAACAATTATATTTTAAATGAGAATTTTTTATTCACTGAGTAAGGTACAGCCTAAGGCTATATTACATTAATCAGGAGAAACTTACTCAAACACTGTCATCGATGATTGTATTTGGTTAATGATCATTTATTGAATGTTCTCTGTGAACAAAGAACTATGCTAAAATCTACGAAGGATACAACCACAAGAGGTTTCTTATTACAACAAACTGTGTGTTACAAAAGTATCACTACATGGGGCCAGCAAGTGGCGTGGTTGTTAAAGGTGCTGGACTCCCACGTGGCTGACCACAGTTCAAGTCTCGGACCTGGTGGCTTGCTTTCTCACTTCCTCTCGCTCTCTCTGTCTCTCTCTGATCAAACTGAAAAATAATAATGATATAAAGTTAAATAAAATAATTCTTTTTTTTTTTGGAGAGGTTTTTGCTATAGGGCGCGTGCACTTGCCAGACAGACAGAGACAGACAGAGAGACAGAAAGTGAGAAATTACCCCCCAGGGGGGATGGTCACGCCGCAATCCCTTCTCCTCCGTTCTCCTCTCAGGATCTTGGACATGCACACACACGCGCCCGGCGTGAATTTTAAGCCACCGGGTCCGGGACGCGAACCGCAGTCGACTATGTGGGAGTCCAGCGACATAGCCATTATGCTAACTGCTGGTTCCCAATAAAATAATTCTTAAAAAAAAAATCATGTCAACAAAAGCATCACTACAATACAAGACAAAACCACACAGCACTTTCTTGCCTCTACAGCTGTACTAGGCGCTGAACAAAAAGGTAGCCAGTATGGATCTGGCTGTACAAGACAGGTAACAGGAAGAAACATTAAATACCAAAACGGAGACCTTTAAAGAAAGACATCATATAGTACACAACTTTGTAACTCAGTAGCTGCTATAAAAAAATTGTTGAAATATAATTAAGCCATTTACAATTCAAAGGTAGTTGTACAGAAAGAGATGAGTGCAAACAAGTACATGACTTATGGAGCCAACCAGTGACTAGTCAGGCATAATTCTATAATTATTCAGAACAAAGTAAGAATTTCAGTATTTTGTTGTTGCTTCTAATTCTCTAGCTTTCATTATCACTTTCAGGCCTTTATCACAATTTTAAAGTTTGTTCTTCGAAAGACAATCAAGAAAATGTAAAGGCAAATCAAGAACTGGGAAAAAATATCTACAAAACATACTCTGTAAAGGACTTGCATCTAGAATATGTAAAGAACTCTTATAATTTAAAAATAAGATAAACAACCCAACAAAAATAGAAAAAAGATAGGAAGAGACACTTCACCAAAGACAACATAGAAATGGCAAATAAGCACATTTGAAAAGATGTCAAACATCATCAATCAGTATGCTAATTAAAACAATGAGATATTCCTGCACAACCAAAGAAAGGCTAAAATTAAAAGTCTGATAATGTGTACTGTCTTGGCAAGGAGGAAGAACAACTGAAGCTCTCACTGGTGGTAGAAATATAAAATGGTAGCACTTTGGGGAACTTGGAGGTTTCTTGAAGTTAATTATATACATAAGACCTATCATTCCCTCATGTAAGTATTTACTCAAAAGAAATTAAAACACACATTATACATACACATATGTGCATAGCATCTTTTTCATAACTGCCAAAAGTAGAAACAAACAAAATGTCCATCAATAGGTCAATGAATAGACAAAAAGTGGTATATATCTACACAATGAATACTATTCAGTAATAATAATAAAAAAAGACGACATAGGTGAATCTAAAAACAATTATGCTGAGTGAAAGATGCAAGCCCAAAACAGTACTTAATGTACAATCCCATTTATATGGAATTCTAGAGAACATGCAGTTGACAGGAGGGAGATCCATGGCTGTGAAGGGCAGGAGAGAAAGAAGCACCAAGAAGCTACTGGAGGTTATGATATGTTCTCTTGATTTCATCAGTGTGTGTGTGTGTGTGTGTGTGTGTGTGTGTGTGTGTGTGTGTATATATATATAAAATATATTTCCAAACTTATAAAATTGTATACTTTATGTGCAATTTGTTACATGGCAATTATAACTGCAATAAAAAAACTTTCAGAAATTATTTAAATATTAGAATACATTCAGTTTGGATAAGATAGATGGAAAGAATATTCTGCCCATTAGTTACACTATTATTCATTGATATAAATCAAAAAGGAATCTAACTGTACATTAACTTTTGTTGATAACTTTTTTCTTTTTCTTTTTCTTTTTTTTTAAATGAGAGCAAAAACACAGGAGAAAAGAAAGGAGGCAGAAAAAGAGTTCTTTCATTTTTTTTTTTAAAGAGGTTTTTGCTATAGGGCGCATGCACTCGCCAGACAGAGAGAGACAGAGAGACAGAAAGCGAGAAATCACCCCCAAGGGGGGATGGCCATGCTGCAATCCCTTCTCCTCCATTCTCCTCTCGGGATCTTGGGCACGCAAGCACACGCGCCCGGTGTGAGCTTTAAGCCACCGGGTCCGGGACGCAAACTGCAGTTGACTACATGGGAGTCCAGCAACATAGCCATTACGCTAACTGCTGTTTGAAAAAATTCAAACAGCAAAGTTATAACAATTTTAGAGTAGAGGTCCCCACCCCAATACCATCAGATTCCACAACCAGTTCTTCATACAACCCTTTATCCATAACTGCTTTTTGATAGGGCCTTGCCATGATGGAAATCTCCTTCTCCAGCCAACCAGATAGCTAGGATCATAGATGTGCAACATACGGCCTGTTAGGTTGGGCCAGGACCCAAATCTAGGTCTCCTGTGCAACCTCAGTCATGTAGAGTAGAAGAGCCCTCTCATTTGTGTTATGACTGAACCTGTAAGATAATTCCTTGGCAAACTCCTGATTTTACAGGAAATAATAAAGTATAAAAATAACCTAAAGTATATCATTTATTGTAAGTCCTATTTCTAACACGGTTCCAGGGGAAAGCTCCCCTCTAGGGCACTGGAAACACATCTCCAGTTATACAATCTCCCAACCCTCATGTAGTACAATTCCAGTCGAACACAGAGGAGCAAGGTATCTACTATTCGAAAGGGAAATCTCCTGGTAGCTATGGATTCAGATATCAGACAAAAACTAAGGATACTTAAAATATGAAGGCTAAAAAAGGAATCTGTTATTTTTAAATACAAAGCACGCATTTATATTCAACTTCAAAGCCTTGAAAAAGGGTGTTGTGTATGTGTTTCTACATACATGTGTATAAGTAATAAGAGAGAGGGAAAGTAGGAAAGAAGAGGAACTACTAGTGAGCTTATCAATAATTCTATCCCTCCACAAGTACTTCTTCAGATTCATTTGAGTACTGAAGAAAAACAATGGCAATAATATGAATAAAAGCATATAACTACATGTCTCCAGTGATCCTATAACCTACTGAATTCATTACAAAGTATATATCCTGAGAGAAATTCTTGCACATCCGAAGCAACATTGTTTACAATAAAAAATGTGTGTGTATTCATTCTCACACCTTTTTCCCTAAATTCACTATCTTGCAGTGACTTAGATCTAAATATTTACCCAGCATTATTTAAAATTTCAAACAGGGACCAGCAGTTAGCGTAATGGCTATGTCGTTGAACTCCCATGTAGCCAACCGCAGTTCGAGTCCCAGACCTGGTGGCTTAAACTCGCGCCGGGTGCATGTGTATGTACGCCCAAGATCCCGAGAGGACAACGAAGGAGAAGGGATTGTGGCGTGGCTATCACCCTGGGGGGTGATTTATCGCTTTCCATCTGTCTGTTTCTCTCTGTCTTTCTGGTGAGCGCACACAACCTATAGCAAAAATCGCTCAAAAAAAAAAAATTTCAAACAGCAAAGTTATAACAATTTTAGAGTAGAGGTCCCCATCCCAATACCATCAGATTCCACAACCAGTTCTTCATATATCTAACCCTTTATCCATACATAAATCCCCACAATGTTCTGATGCTTTTCAAAATAAGTTGCAGATGTCAGTATACATTAGCACATACACATCATTAACCAAGGTTCAGTATTTATAACTGTATCGAAGCGTTTTGATATAGAATCTTTCTTCACTTACACTAGGGCATACATGTAGAAAGTCTCTTACAGCAATAAGAATCTGCTATGTATATAAACTTCCTTTTCTCTTTTAAATGTTATAGATACTGTATTATCCTATTTCACACATGAAGAAACCCATGGCTGACTGAGGTCTCAAAGTTCTCAAAGTTACAGGTAGTCAGTGGGAGAGAGGAGATACAAATGCATATGTAGTTGACTCCCTAAAACGGTCGAGTCGATAAAAAAGACAGAAAACAAGTTTTTTTTTAAATTTTGAAATAACCATTTTCTCAAACTTCTTTGATTATACCAT